AAATGCTCAACTGCCCGATCGTCGTTGAACAATGGTAACTTCCCTTCCAGGGCTGGCAGCGTCTTGAAATTTGCACACCCTATAGAAGACACTTGTCTCTAAAAATCCTGAAAATTTCATTCAAATCGCAATAAAATTTAATTTTTCTGCGATTTGTACGCACATGTGAACAAATGGGAGTTTTCGCACAGCTGCACGATCCTCTTTAAAAATTCGCAACTTCCTATCCAGAACAGGCAGCAATTCGAAACTTCCATGCGATATAGAAAACACTTGACTCTAAAAACCCAGAAAGTTCCATTCAAATTGCTTTAAAATTTGATTTTTCGCGCATTGTAACCACACATGAAAAATGTAAATTTTTTGCTCAACGGCATGATCGTCTTTAAAAATCCGTAACTTTCCATCCTGGGGAGGCAGCAACTTGAACTTTGCAAACAGTTTAGAAGACGCTTGATTCTGCAAATCCCGAAAGTTTAATTTAAAACACAGAAAATATTATTTTTGCGTGCTTTGTAAACGCAGGTGAAGAATTAACAGTTTCCACCCAACTGCATAATCGTCTTTAATAATTCGTAACTTTCCATCCAGAACAGGCAGCAAAGTGAAACTTGCAGACAATATAGAAGACACTTGACTCTGCAAACCCTGAAACTTTCATTCAAGTCACAATAAAACCTGATTTTTGCGCGCTTTGTAAACTCAGGTGAAAAATTACGAGTTTTCACCCAACTGCATAATGGTCTTTAAAAATTCGAATCTTTCCATCCAAAACAGACAACAACTTGAAACTTCTAGACGCTGAAGAACACACTTCACTGTGAAAACCATGAAAGTTTCATTCAAATGCCCTTAAAATCTGATTTTTGCGCACATGGTAAGCAGAGGTGAAGAAATTACATTTTTTGCTCAGCTGCACAATCCTCTTTATAAATTCGTAACTTCCCATCCAGAGCAGGCAGCAAGGTGAAACTTGCAGACAATATAGAAGACAATTGACTCTGCAAACCCTGAAACTTTCATTCAAATCACATTAAAACCTGATTTTTGCGCGCTTTGTAAAGATATATATTTTTTTTGTTTTCGCTCAAATGCACACTAGCTTTTAAAAATTCGTAACTTCCAATCTAGGGCAGGCATCGACTTAAAACTCGCTCGCCCTATTGAACGACCCCAACTCTAAAACCCTGCAAAATTCAACTGAAATCGCCCCAAAACTGAGTCACCTACAGGGGCAAATGGGGTCAAAAAACGCCAGTCGCCACGTCAGTGTTTATTACCAGACCA